GATTTACTTAATGTGAGTGTTATGTACACCTCTATGTATAATATTATGTACCTATAACATTTTTCTTAAGCGTCCCAAATAAAGTTCCACGAAAGCTTATTTCATGAAGCTTTGTTTGTTGGCTGCTGAAATTTGTAGGCGGTGATTGTTTTGATTAGGGTTTTTTTTGTACGACTCAAACGAATGGGCCTGAATGGTGAGTTGGATATTGAGATAAGTGTAGTGAGCTTGCCAAGGGCCGCGAAATTTACGTGATTATTTTAACTCATATTTATCATACTCCAATTTGATGGTATGGTAAAATTAGGTGTACAAAACACTCACATGGAGTGGGGTCTACTTGATTTTTTTTTTTATGGATCCCACTGAATGTGAGTGTTATGTACACCACTATATACAATATTATGTACCTGTAGCTTTCTCTTATAATATACACTTATTTTTAATATAATTTTAATAATAAAATCGTAATCATATTTAATAATGACAAAATATTTTTTTAATAGAATCATATTTAATCATATTTGAATAGAATCGTAATTTTTTATTAATTTATAGATAATTCTCAAAGTTATGAATGGATATCACTTAGGCCATTTGTTGAACAGAAAAGACACTGTTCTTTAGTGAATCAAAGTGGAGGTGTATATTTTTAGCAAATCAAAGTAGATGTATTGTATGTACGTTCGTTTTTATATTTTATGGGTTTAGAGTACTAATTATGGCCATGGATCGAACCGGACCGGCCCTCCAATTCGAGCCGAACCGGCCCAGGACCGAGCTCGTAGTTTGACTAGGTCGGTTCTGGGCCTCATGTATTTTTTTTTGGACTAGGTCGGCCCTCGAGATGACCCACCATATTTTCTTTTGGACCGTTGGCAACCCAATAATCTGGGTCGTTGAATGCTTTTTACTATTGAAGATCGAACAATAAATTTATTTTATTTATTATTTTTAAATTCGATTCCACGGTATGGGTCTAGGTTCAGTTTTGACCTACTAATAATAATGGAAACTATATTTATGTCCTAGTAAAAGTATTTTACTAACTTTTATCTAAATTATTATTTTTACATATCTCCTCCTTCATTTTCATTAAAAATCAACTAACCAATCTCTACATTACTCTTCATTAATCCACATGTCTTGTAATCCAACATCATCGGGGATACATGCAACTGAGGTAAATTATGTTAATCCCTAATTTTTTTTTTTACATTGATTTTCACTCACAAATATATCTCTTGATTTTTGAGTGTTTGAGTTATTTTAGGAAGTAATGAGTTCTAAGAGAAACGTTTCTTTCTCAAAGTTTCTTTCTCAACTAATAGTCTAAGTGAGACCAATTCACAACTATGAGACTTATTTGTAAACTATTAAAAATTACGATTCTATTAAAATATGATTCTACTAAAAAAATATTTTGTCATTATTAAATATGATTACGATGTTATTATTAAAATTATATTAAAAATAAGTGTATATTATAAAATAACAATTCTCTATATCATTTTAAAGATTTGTTGCATGGGTTGATGTTAT